ACAAAGTTGTAGCCTTTTTTTAAGTTGACGAATAACATTGGGGCTTGTTCTTTAAAAACGCCAAAGTACCTGGCAGAACTGAAATGCATTTAGATCTTGCTCATATTTTCGTGCAATCTCTGATCCCTTCTTTTGCACTTCTTCAGTTGACATATTCAGTATTTACAGAAACTCTCAGTACTCTCAGTAAATGTAGTTTCAATACATTACAGAAACTCTCGGTTGCCTTAATGTAGTCTGTTTGAGAATGATAGATGGAAAGTCTTTATCTTGGTCATGCAAATTGCAAAAAATATCAATATACTTTAGAATCTTGGCACTATCGAAAGTTGCGCCAGAGTCTCATGGTTCGTCTTTTCCGTGAAGCCATTTTTTCATTTTAGCTGCAATTTGTTTTCTCTGTTCTGCCCTATCTTCTGCTGTTTGTCTATATTCTGCCTCCAAAAGTTTTTTCTAGATGCTCTCGTGATTTTTTTTACCTTAAATAATATACAGTATAACTTGCCTTAACAAGAAAAGCTAAAAATTGACGCAATTACACTCAAAAGTCTTGCGCGCACTAACTGAATGGTTGTGTCTTGCTAAATATGGTGAGGAATACTGGAAGCAGGCATATTAAAAAAAAAAAAAAAGAGAGAGAGAGAGAGAGAGAGAGAAAACCCCTCCAAACTAAAAAAACTTTAAAAACTAATAAAATAATAAATCCATTTTTAAAACCTAAGTTGTCGACTGACTGCAAAAAATCAAAATGCCTAACTTCATTTCTGCTGTATTTTCGCGACGTACATTAATTTGAATGATTTCATTGGTCCAGATTGGGTATTGGGTGTTAGGAAAAAGTTACAATTTACAATGCTTCACCATTTATTTCCCAAGAGGCATTGGTATGAAAAGAAGGTGCCTCTATGCTATCGTTCTGTTTCTCATTTGAATATTCCCATCTAGAGAGAGGACAACAGAGGGACACTAAGCTTCACTTACAGGGACCAAAGACCAAAGCGCTTACAGAGTACCTTTGTAATAAAATTACGTGTTGGGTTGGCAGAGTGACAGGGTCATCTGACCTTGTCAGTGACGTGCTGGAGTCCCTTTATTGTCCTCTCTCTGATCTTATCTTTAGTCATATTCGGCTGTACTTAGCTTACTTTTATTTGCTTGTTCTTTTAAAAGGTTTCCGAGTAATTAATTATAAATATTCTTAAAAAAGTTTTTAAAACTACTAATGTTGTATCAAAATTTGATGATTCAAAATACGATCCAGCACCACTCTTGAATTTGCCGCCCGGGGCACAGAGCCTGGCTTGTCCCCCCTAGATCCGGGACTGTCTATATCTTAAATGAACTTTCATGCAAATTCTGTTACTGGCTCAATGTTTGTGTTATGAAACTTCTTCTTTCTGCATTATGATTAACCTTATAAATCAGATACAATATATAGCACAAAAATTAAGTCAGAAAAATATGGAAGAACTATCAATATCCTAAAGACAAAATCATGCTATGAATTTTGTATACATACAAATAACTTTAGTTAAATTATATGTGAAGTTCTTGTATTTTTGTATAATGTGATATGAAAATCTGCAGAAGCTAAGCTTGCTAGTAAAGTAAGAATACAGAGGCAAGTCTATTTAAAATTGAGTAAATAGATATATCGCCATGCTAAAGATGGTTTTGGCAACAAATTTTTTTCTGCAAAATTTGATGAGAATGCAAAATAAGTCGCCAAACTCAGCGACATTTTGGTCTGGTCCCTGTATAACTGTAATGGATATTGCAACTGAATAACTGTAATTGATCCTCTATGTAGCTATAACCACATCCGGCCCTAATTTGCCTTCCAGTAATTTCGAGAAGTACTAGAGATTTCATAAAGGCCAGGGAAAAACTATATAAAACCGGAGACAGCATCAATTTCACAGTTAGAACTGAATTCGGAGTACTGAGACATCTGCGTTAGCAGTTTAGATGCACTTTGCATTGTGTTGGTTAACATTCTTGTAGTTTGAAGTATAACTACTAGCTGTACTCTGTGATACTGTGAAGAGTATTACGAGCATTTTTGTGAAAGGCAAAGAATAGAAAAAATGGGTATAATTGAATCAATACATAAGATAAGTGAAAAACAACATGAATCAAAGTGAAAAACAATATATTTTTACCTTAACTGACAACAATTATAAATCCAAAATCATTTTAAGAAAAGGCGAAATGATTGGTAAGGTATATAAATTAGATGAAAATCTATTTGAAAACCTTATAGAACAACAAAATTTAAAAATTCACCATATAACATTAAAAGAAATTAGAAAACTAAGAAGGGAGATTTAGTCGCTGATAATTTTGATAAAACGATTAAAAAATAGAACATGATAAACCTTTATATTTAGTCACAGATGCATCATGGTCAGCCATTTGTGGAATACTGATTAAGAAAGATAATGATACGTTTTCCCCAGTACAATTTTACTCAAAGATTTTTTTACACCTGTGGAAGCCAGGTATACTTCAATCAGGAGAGAATTTTATGCAATTTTTTGGTCTGTGAAACAATTTCCAAACCACTAATATTCTATATCAATCTGGACAAGCAGCCTGATATTGTATCACGATGGTTATTATATGTCCAGGAATTTCAGCATACAATGAGCATATCCCCGGTTTAAAAAACCCGGGAGGATACTTATCAAATTTCAGAGGAAGAGGAAATTCAGCTATTAATGTACATGCTCCATCCAATGCAGCATTTTAATATCTCGAAAAAGTGTTGCTGGTAATACTGCAAATAAAATAATGGATAAAGCTGCTGTTGAAACTGGAATGAAAAAATAATACAGGAGAGATTGTTGAATGTGGTGTGCCAGTTGACAGTTCATGGCAACAAAGTGGCCACTCATCGTTAAATGGATGTGTGACTGAAATGGATGTGATCATTAAATGGATGTGTGATTATATCAATTGATACAGGAAACATGTTACACACTGAAGTAATCTCCAAAGTATGTAGAATTTGCAGACATAAAAAAAGTTACAACCGTGAGAAATATATCAGATAATCAGGAGCCAGTGAACCTGATGGCATATACATTATTTTTGAAAGATCCACTCATCTAAGGAAACTAAAATATGTTAAATTCTATGGTGACATTAAAGGTTGCAAAGCAGTTTAAGGTATTAATGGTATAAATAGTGTCATGCATTGAATGTATAGGTCGTAGACAGATGCACAATTGTTTAACAAATTGAAGGAAGAACAACAAGGTCTTGGTGGACGAGGGGAGGGGGTTGAATTAATGGATGCTTTCATTGACAAACTTCAAAATTACTATGGAACTGCAATCGAGAGCAATGTGAATAATTTACAGTAAATGCATAGTGTCGTAATTGCCCCATTTCTTTTCACACCTGATCTAGTATGCACTGCCTGTAGTCAGCTGGTGTATATATCAGTGAGCTGCATCAGTTGGAAGAATGTATACAGACATATCTAAAGAATTCCCTAAGAATGTCATTAATATTGTTAAGGCTGAGTATATGTAACTATGTCAGCAGAAGCTTTTACAGAAGTACTTACTTGAAAAGACGCAAAATGCAAAAAGTTTTAATGGCATTTTGTGGAAATTTATACCAAAGTTTTGTTTGTGGAATTAACAACTCTTAAACTAGAGGCACACATGGCTGTTATACAATTTAACAGAGGTTTTCAAGGCTTACTAGATATTTTAAATTGTATAGGTAAACGAGCTGCTGCATATGCAATCGAAGGGTATAGTAGGCTTGACATGGAGCAATTAAGGGAATCGAAATGTCATTTACTACACACAGAGTAAAAATCAACAGAAAAGGAAATAGGCTGACTAAAAAATGCAAAACAGATAAAGCAGAGCAAAAGCAAGGCATAACATATAGATGCGGGAGTTTTAGGTATCTGGCTAAAAATTAAATAACAAAAATATAACATTTTAAACTTTAAGTGCCCTTTTTTCCCTTCAAAAGTTGCTTACTTGGTGCAGGATAAGTCAACTTGTTATTATTTTATTGTTATGAAACATTGTGTACTTAATCTACATATACTTATCTAGAGACTACCATATCAGAATATTTATATTATAAATATTTTTGAAATTATGACCTGCTATTAAAATAATATCATAGAATTATTGAAAATTCTAAAAAAAACTTCAATAAGCTGAAAGATTTTTATTTTTTAATAAATCATTAAAACCATACGTCATTCCCTAGATAAAAGCCTGTACTTTATTACCATATGACTTCTTTTAATGTAATTGCAATAGTTCTCGTGATTGGATGTTTCAATTTTTTTTAAAATCTGCATGAATTTTCACATATACTTAACATTTTTGCGAAATAATAATATATATTAAATCTCGATATTCCATAATAAATCTTCATAAAAAATAAATGAAAACAGTGTCTATAATATACCAATACTGTGTTTTTTGGGGAAAACAAGGGCTCCAAACATGTTTAGATACATTAAGAAATCAGAACAAATGCAGTTTTGCAAAACTAAGGGTCTCTTTTATTTATTTCATCCACTGAAATACATATTGTCATCAATTTGCCATTCAATATCAGAAACTCTTTCTTCCATTTCTCTAACTTTATTTTCAACTGTGTCTGTTCTGCCTACCATAACATCAAACCTGTTTTCTGTTATGGCAGTAATTTCTCTTTTCATTTGCTCTCTACCTGCTTCAAGCTTTTCACACAGGGAAGGAGCAGTAACAGTTTTACAGGGATCACACCAAAATGTTGCCAAACTCTCGCTGGCTTAGCGCTACCTTGCCAAGTTGGTCTCACAACTAATTGCAAATGACTCTCACATTTAACTCGGTGGACTTGCCCCAGTAACATTACTTTTCCGACAAAGGTTCACACTCTTGAGGCCTTTCATGTTACATTATATACGAGATATTATGATTTTACTTCTAAATTCTCTAAAATTATTTAAATATATACAAAATTCTCAACATTACCCTTTTCCCAAAAACTGTATGTCCCGAGCAGTTTAATACCTGGACAGGTAGCTGTACTTGCAACTAAGGAAAATCTATGCAATGTTAAAAAAATAATAATAAATAACAAACAACAAATCAAATACTAAATCAATCAGTAAATATATAAATTTACAAATCTATATACACACAGAACTATAGTATTATACATATACTGTTTACGTTATACACTCTATAGTGACTACATACTTTGGCCACAGAAAGAGGCTACCCTTCCTAATGCATGACTTTAGGATTAGAATTTGATCACTTATGGATTCAAACTATGATATCATTCAGCCATTTTAAGATTGTGTGAGGTCTGCAGTTTAAGAAAGAGTCTTTTCCATCAAAGAAAATTAAATAACCACAACTTGCACTTTCATTAATTCAATATCCTGTAGCTTTTATGTCGTCTGTGGTCTTTATCTTTTCTGTCGCCAAGTTGATTCACTCTTGCGCAAAACTGTGCATGATTTCAAACTGTGCCCGAAGATCCTGAATGTACTTCTGGATGGCAATGAAATAACAGATCACAAGGCAGAAAAAGTCATGACCAAAGAGCATCTGAGATCTCATGGGCAGCACTGCAAGAGGCCAGCCAGTAAGAACAGCGGTAACTTCTGGTCCCAGTCATGTTGGTTTCTAGAAATCATCAGCAAGAGCTTATTAAGGATGGTTCGATTAAATCTCTTTACCATTCCCTCTGACTGTGGATATACAGGTGTGATTTGGTTTTGTCTATGCTGAGTAGTTTAAAGAATTCATTAACAAGAGCTGAGATAAAATTACTTCTTTGATTGGAATGCAACTAGTTAGCCCTCCAAAGTTAGAAATCCAATGCTGTATCATTACTTCTGTTATGAAGACAGCCTCTTAATTACAGATACAATATGGTTTATGCCACTTTGAAAAGTACTCAATAACAAACAGCAGTACATGGCAGAGGTCTCAGGATGTCGAAGGCTAAGTGTTAAAAAGGCACTCCTACACTGTAACGTTGCAACTTTCCTCGACTACATTTCTTTGGTCCTTTCTGGCCTACACAGGCATGATAGGACTAGCATTATTTCTGTACATCAGCCCTTGCATTACTTTAGTGCTCTCAAACTGTATGCAAAGTCCTCACTATTCTGAAGTGGCCTCCTGTCAAGACTGCTGTGCAGCTCTTTAAGGATGATCCCGGATCTCGAACAACCTATACTTCAAAGTAGAATGCCTTTCCATTGTCTCATTAAAAGTTTCTGTAGAACACGCTAGTTTGAATATGGAAGAGTCCCAGATAGACTAATATTGTTTTGTGGTAAAACTGTAGAGACAATAGGTATTTTTTTAAAGCAGGAGACATGAAAAGTGAGCAATGCCCTCACCGAGACTCGAATTATGGACCTCTCAAATACGCATTGAGTGAGCTGACCATTAGACTACAAAGGCATGCTAAGAAGGCGGTAGAAATACCTTATATACAGCCCCCTTTTTAAGAGTGACTGGGGATTAGGAGACCCAATCGCCAAATCCTGGGGGTGGAGAATCATCATCCACCACCCTTTTAGTTCGGGCACCACTGTAGACTTAGGTATTTTTGAAGGAAGATGAAGAATAAGCAACACCTTCGCCGGGTCTCGAACCACGGACCTCTCAAATACACGTCGAACTTGCTGACCACTACACTAAGAAGGCAGGAGAAATACCTTATAGGATTATAGGTCAAAATCTACTGCAAGTAGGCTTCTTATTTGAAGACTCCGTTAGGTCAATAATTATGGGCTTAATGTCGCCATCTACCACCTGGTCATCTTTGACTTCTTCATTACCCCATGGGTCTAGGTCAGATGATGCTGTAGTTGTAGCTTGGCATATGACTGGATGAACCAGCTCATATTTCGCTTCGACCTTGAAACAGTATCGGCAGATTCTGGGCACGGTCTTCTAGACAGGGCGTCAGCATTTTTGAGTGATGATCCTTTCCAGGAATGGATAGTGATGTCATAGTCCTGGAGTCTCTGTATCTATCTGGCTATTTGGTTTTCATGATTCTTGAAATTTAAGAACCAGGTGGACCATACATGATATGTCTGGAGCAGGAATTTTCTGCTGTAGAGGTAATGGTGGAAATGTTCTGTGGCTTTAACTATGGCAAGGAACTCTTTTCTGGTGACACAGTAATTCCTCTTCAGTTTAGATACACTTTTTTCAGTATGCTACAACATGTTATTCACCATTTATTTCTTGGGACAAAACAGCACTGACACTCTCATTGTTCCCATCTGTACCAAGAATAAATGGTTTGTCAAACTGAGGATATGTGAGGATTTTTGCAGATGTTAAGCATCCTTCTATTTGTTAAATGCATTCTCACATTCCTCCACAAGTGTATTTGCTGTCAGTCTGTGAATAGGTATAGTGATGCAATAATGTCCTTGTCATATGTCTTATATCAAGTGCAAAGTGCCAGGAAACTTCTCAACTAATGGACATTTTCAGGGTAACTGCCAATACTTCTAGCAGAGATGACATGTCCGAGGTAACTCAGTTCACATCTGAACAAATTTCATTTGGCAGAACATAATTTTAGATTAGCTTCCTTCAATTTCTGATGCATTTTCCTAATATTTTACTAATGTTCTTGAAAGATTTTTCCCTACGTTGATGATGTCACCCATGTATACCAGATAAGCTTCACACGAAAGACTGCTCAGCATAGTCTTCATGAGGTGTTCAAATGTTACTGGTGTGCTGGTATAATGCAAACAGCATCGTCTTGAACTACCAAAAGACCTTGTTTGGCAGTAAATGCTGTCTTTTCTTGGGCATCAGGGTGCATATCCACTTGCGAAAATCTACTCCTTAAATCAAGCATCAAAAACTACTTGCTTCCAGAAACAGTACCCAGAATGTCGTCAATTCTGGGCAGCTGTCTTTCTTCATGATGTCATTCAACTGGCAATAGTCAATGCAAAATCTAGTTGAACCATCTTTCTTTCTAACAAGGATGAAAGAAGAGGACCAAGGACTATCTGAAGGCTCAATAATGTCGCTTGTACTTTAGAAGTCTTCCTACCTCTTTATGTTTAGCAGTTGGTAGACATTTGGATGTTATTTGATTGGTGGATGATCTGATGTATCAACTTTATGTTGTGCTAAACTGGTTTGACCTACATCAGAAGTTGTGCAGGAGAAAAAATCTTGAAATTCTGGAATGAATCATTCTGTAGCACACCTATCTCTATCATTTAGTTGAGCATTTTGCAGTAATTCTGATGTTAGGCTCTTTGAAGACACGACCAGTGGAGGACTGTTGGTTCGTTTAATGCAAGTCAGTGGAGGACATGCAACAAAAATATCACCTTTCCTAATAACTTTTGCCTTTTCTCTTTCATTGGCAAACTCTTAGGAGGATGACAATCTTCGGAAAGTTGACAAGTGCAGAGACTACTGGTGTTCCTTTTGGGCTGTTACAATTCTTAAAATATTCCATTATACTGCACTGGAAATTTTGGTTTTCAGGTATGAATCCCCATATTAAAAATTCTGTTCTTGTTGGTACCATGATACCGTTTTGAGCTATCATTTGGCAGATGGATTTCACTTCTTTATCTTTAATTCAAACAGGGTTATGTCCTCAGAGGCAGAATATAGATCATTATGTTTGGAGTCTCAGGAAAAACTGTATTTCCATTCGAAAGTCTAATATAAGTATGCAAGGGTATATAGTATCTGCCACATATGCTGTGTATTGGTAGGCAGCACTTCTGAACTTTTAACTTTTCATTAATGTTCATTTTATCACAGGATACAGTTTGGAGGGTAATGTAGGGCAATAACCAAATAAGTTTACCTTCCAGTCAATGAGCCAGATCTTTTTGGATCTTGGTAACATCAGCTCCTGTAGCCATATTGCAAGGAACTCCTATTTACTATGTCCCATTAAATAACAGTCCATTCCCACCAACACTCAATGCAGAAATCTGAAATGCTTTGAAATAGGGCTTCTCAGTATCTGACAAACTTCAGCCTATGAGAAAGCCACTAATTAGTTTTCCTCCTTCCTGCTGGGAGCAGTCTTAGCTCCCATTTCTTGCGGTGTTCTGCAGTTCCTTCATACATTGCCTGCACTACTGCAGTTCCAGCACTTTATGATCAGTTTGTTGCCATTTATATTCTGCTTTAAGGCATTGAACTGCTTGGTTAGATCATCTAGATAGGAAGTTACTTGATCCACTGGTTTTTAGAATTGAGCAGCTCTGACAGGGTAGCTGTGAATTACTTGCTGGGCTGCCTCGAATTTCATTGCGCGCTAAAGTGCCTTTTAGATCCTGACATCCACCATTGAAAAGGCTTCATGCATCAGAATTGCTGAGGCAATTAATAAAGTATACTGCATGGACAATGGACAGGACTTCCTTTGTTTCTAGTTGACCAGCTTGAAAAGGCAAGATAAGATGACTTTTCAACATTTATGGCAAGTTCCTAGAGCGTTTCAATGGGCTTCTGTTGGAGAGATTTCAGCTGAATCCTGCTAGTCTTTTAAACACTTCTTGCCAAACTGCAGCTCCAACATGCTCGACAAAGCTTCAATGTATAGCTCTGGTTTCAGGCAGAGATTGAAGGATATCTGCTACGCCTGCTCTTAGAAAAGTGGGGAGGTGGCAAGTCTTAATTTCGGAATCCCATCAATTTGCTATTGCCATTATACAGAACTGAGTCTTGTACACTTAATTTAGAATTCAAACACCAAACTTCTTGTACACTTATTGGGGGTATTTCCATTATATGTGGACAGCTTTAGAGATCGTAAATGTTTCATTATTTTGTAAAGCATGATTTCATATTTTTAACTTTATAATTTCTCCATGCCATCTCATATGTTTTAAACTGATGATCTAATATCCGTAAAAATCCCAACTTCGGAATCGCCGAAGTCCCGAGGAGTCCGGATCTCGGACTTTGTACTGTACTTCATTCCTAGACTTTGTTAGGGGAAAACAATTAAGAAGGAAAAAGTATACTTATTGGTGGTCCTGAGGTCCAGATCATCTGGATTTTGAACATCCAG